TTGATGACCTGATATATTTATCTGAAATTTTTGCAAGTCACATGGCTCCCATTCATGGTGCCATGTTCCTTTGTATACTTTTTTTCTATGTTAACTGTGAGCTATTACTGAGTTCCTGCAGAGTATTTGTTTGCTTCTGCCAATACTTGGCTGCTCTGATTTGGAACTATTTTAAAAATTAAATCTTCTAAAAAAATTAAATCTTTTGCTTGAGTTTTCTGGGACCACTTATGTAGTAAGATTTAGGGTTGCAAATCTTCACAAAGGCCAAACTATTACTACAGATTCTGAGCGAATATTCTCCTGCCACAGAGCACCAAGTTTCAGGATATGCAGACTCCATTGTATTAGGGAGGGGCTTCTCTTACTTGCCACCACTCTTTGGATGCATTCTGGGCTTCACAAAAATTATAGTTCACTTGGTTTCTCAAGTGTTTTTGAAGTGAAAGTTGGTTTCTGGTTATATTTTCTTTTTGGGCTTCTGGCTTCAATTTGTTTTTGGCTTGTGAGTACTCCTTTCTTCATTACGGACACATTTTTTTTTTTTTTAATTGTTTTCCCCAGGGTTTTTAGTTGCTTTTGTACAGGAGTTTATCAGGATAAGCATCCATGCTGAGAAGCTAAACTGTCCATTTACTGTGATGCTAATTTATGTTTATATTGTTATACTTTTATTAGTAGTCAGAGAATAAAGAAGGTTCCATTCATTATATCAGTCCCCCTTATCTGTGGAGGATACATTCCAAGACCTCCAGTGGATGCCTCAAACTGCTAAAGTACTGAACCTTTATGTATTTTCCTATACATACATGCCTATGATAGTTTAATTTATAAATTAGGTACAGTAAAATTAACAAAAATAAGCTATCACAATTGTAACAACATACTGTTGTAACAACATAATAAAAGTTATGTGAATGTGGGCTTTCTCTCAAAATCTTACTGCACTGTGCTCACCCTTCTTGTAATAGGAGAAGATGAAATGTCTGTGGTGATGGGAGAAGTGACGTAAATGTGACATACTTATGCTACCACTGACCTCTTGACAATATAACAGGATGATTTGCTTCTGACCCACTGTTGACCATGGGTAACTTTAGACTGTGGTCAAGGGAGGACTACTGTTTAGTTTTTTGTACTTTTGGAGTTAAACATACAGCAAGGATTATTTTTGGTAAAGTCTGCCATTTAGCTCATGATCAAATATCAAATTCAAGGTGGATAATACTGAATATGCCATGGCACTCCATAATGGCAGGGTTGTTGGTATTTTATGTAGAGTTGAGAAAAACCACTTTAATAGGTTTGACATTTGAATACTTACAGAGAAAAGGGAGCTATATGGCTTCTGAGATAATTCTAGGTTAAAGGGAACCAAGGGCAGGTATCTTAAGGTGAGAGAAGTCTGCATGTTCAATTCTCACCAGAGGCCTTGTGTGGCTGAGCTGAGGGAGCTGGGGAGCAGTGGAAGAGTGTACTAGAGAAGTAGAGGTGGTGGGAAGTCATTAAAACCTGTAAATCGGGCAGCCCTGGTGGCTCAGCAGTTTAGCGCCGCCTTCAGCCCAGGGCCTGATCCTGGAGACCCGGGATCGAGTCCCACGTCAGGCCTCCTGTGGGGCCTGCTTCTCCCTCTGCTTGTGTCTTGGCCTCTCTGTGTGTGTCTCATGAATAAATAAAATATTAAAATAAAAATAAAACCTGTAAGTCACTTTTAGTATTTCAGCTTTTACTCTGAATGAGATGGGAAACATTCAGGTTTGCATTGATGACATATCTGATGTGGCTTAAAAGGATTATCCTGAGTGGTGTGTGTGGGACAGACTGCTGCAAAAAGCAGGGAGGACCAGAGGAAGCTGTAGCAGTAATCCGAGAGGGTGACGGAACTTTATACCATGGTGTCAGCAGTAAATACAGCGAATAAAGATTCTGAGTAAAAACTAAAAGCAGATCTTAAAGGATTGCTGTTCAATCTGAAAGTGCAAGTGTGAAAAGTCAAGGTTGATGCCTAGGCTTTGGGCCAGTCCAACTCAATGGATGTTAGAGGAGGTCAGGGTGTGTGTATCTGTGTGCAGAAACCCAGTAGGTTTTAGATACTTTGAAGGTAGCTTTAGGTAGCAAGTGGATAAAGAATAAGCTACACAGTTTAGGTGAGATAGCTGGGACGCCAGAGGACAATGGTTAACCATATTCTTAAGCAATTAGGGCATTGTTTGGTCTTACTTGACATTATTCAATTTTGATATACCAACAAGGTATAGAGGTTAAGAGGCTCAGACAATAGTATGTAAAATGAACATGAGTTATTAAAAAAACCATTTTCAGTACAGGGAAACTTGAGTTTCATCCAGAAATAGTGTACAATTTGGGAAGATAACAGACAATGGAACCTTAACTAAAATTCCACATTAAAAGAGCAATTACTAGAAATAGCAAGCCAGAGTTAAGAATCATAAAAAAAAAAAAAAATCTTCAAAATGAGGCAAGAAAGGACCAAATAGTTATAGAGTGCAGGAAAGAATGCAAAATTGTGTTAATTACTGGGGACCTAAAGAAAACAAGATTATCCTAGGCTTTCTGATCTTTTACAAAGTTCCTCCATAAATTTTTGGTGGGTTGGGGGTGCAGAGGTGGTCATTCTTAAATCCTGTTTCCAAATCACAATTTTTGTATTACATTGGGAGTGTTGAAAACTTTAATAACTACTTTCAGATGTTTATTATAAATCCAGTGAACACTGCAAACACCCTCATTATGAAAACTTACCTTTTCACTAAAAAACAAAACAAAAAACACAACAAAAAACCCACCTAAACAATTTTCTAAGGCCAAAGAATGAGATCAGTGTTCAAGTCCTTGCTTAGCTATCTAACCAACACTTTAGCAGACTTTTGTAGCTGGTAACCCTTTAAATACTACTTGGCCATTGGTTGAATTATACATATGCAAAGTTAAGTCCTTGTTATAAATTTGAAGGTCCTCGCTAGACAATCAAATTAGTTAAGTAAATGTGTAAAACAACTTATTTGTAATTCAAAGTGCTATAAATTTTATTTGGGCATCCAACGGAGGTTCCCTTATTCCTATGAAACAGCAAGAGGTGTCAAATAGCTTCTGGGCCCAAGAACTGCTGCTGTGGGCTATTAGATCTAGGAGCAGACTTCAGAATCACTTAGATGGCTTTTAAAAATAGACTGCTGGGTTTTTCAAGTTTATCAGTAGACCTGGAGTGTGGTTTGGTATTTTCCATGTTAAAGAACTTCCCAAATGATAAGGATTATTAACTAGTCTTGGAACCACACTTTGAGAACCAGTCTTCTTTATAGACCACTGTTTTATAACTACTATTTTAAGAAGTTCAAAATAGAACTCACACACAGTATTAAGTGTGGATTTCATGTTAGCTGGAATTACTGAGACCAAAGTGTCTTTAAACACAGACTTTAATGGTAACAATTCCTTTAAGCTCAATTAACCTTAGCTATTACAAGTGTTATGCAGATGTCACTATTAAGACAATATTTAGTGACTTGTACTGGTTTCCTCATAAAAGACAAATTCACTTAAAAGTGTAATCAACAATCATTTTAACAGTTTTGTTATGCCAACACAAAACACGGCTAATTTGAGTCACCTCCAAAATCACTAACACAGCATGATCAGTAACTGAAGCATATCTTAACTAAGCCATTAAAAAATAAGAGTGAGTGTTTCACTACCCCTGAGACCACTAGTTAGCTGTGGTTCATACTTTAAAAATTTGTGAGTACACCCACACAAGAAAGCAAACTAACAAGCTTTTAAAAAAAATCTAGTATCACATTGCAAACTTGCCCAGGAAAAATTAGTTAAAATATAATGTACTATTAACAGGTCGGCTGGACTATAATTCTTAGATCGAAACTCAGTATTAAAAATTTGACTTTATGCATTAAAAGATATATTTAAGAACCAAAATCAACTTTTAATATGCATCCAGCCCTACACATGGCACTAGTAATGTATATATGGGGGAAAAGGGCAAATTCTTGGATTCTTTTGAAGGTTTCATTGGAGATGATCTCAAGTCCAGTGTCCATACATTCAAAAATGTTGGTTTTCCAGGTACTTTACTGTTCTCTTAAACCTGGAGAAGCCTTTATGGCTTATTCCCGTAAGTGACATAAGAAATGTAGAAAGCATTAAATCAAAGATACAGACTGGACACATCTAGTAATTATTATGACAATCAATGGTTAAAGTATTCATAGAGATGACTTAAAAGTTGTCTATGGCTAAAGAAAAATCAACTTGAAAGTCAATTAGGAATTCAGAAGCTGACAAACTGTTTATTCACAGCTGGCTTTCAAAGATATGCCTACTAAAGCTATTATTTTGAGTATAGAATCAGAAGTAATTATTTTGAAAATAAAGCAAAAGAACAGGATTTCTTAAGATTACTAATTTCTCACTTATAATTTGAATCCAAAATAGCTTTAACAGTATGATGTCTACCTTTAAAGAGTAGTTTTTTAAGTAAAAGAGGGAATGAAAAAAATTCACTCATTGGAAAATTGTATAGCTGGGTTGATATTTCTCAATGAAATGCTTAAATTACAGAATTAACAAAGTCAGAACATCTTCGGAAGGCATGCATTTCACTTGCAATTTAGAGAAAAACCTTAAGTCAATAAACCATGTCGGAACTACGTATTAAAATGTTTATAAAAAAAAATCAAGCTTTAACATTTATTTTATATCTAGCTTTCCACATCTGTGTGCAGACAAGGAGTAAGATTGCACGTTAAGTGTAATAAGCAGTGCAAAATGTGTAAGTGGAGAAAAGTCACAGATGTGCTAGAAATCAAATACAAGATTTTAAGAAAGCAATGGACAAATCAAAAGAACTAGAAAAAAAGAAGTAAAACTAACAGGATCAGGATCAGGAAGGGTGAAGAATGATAATGCCCTTGTTACTACAGAAGTTAAATTAGTGGCACAGATAGCACTTATCAAACAAAAAATAATCCAATAGCATTAACTTTTATTCATTCATGTTAAGTAACCTGAAATGATATCTGTTGCATTTAAATGCTCATTAATGTAAATGGCTGAACAAATCCATTTCAATGGATATTCAATATCCCACATAGGTAAGTCACTTCAACACAGCCTCATGACAACTCCCACACCAAAACAGTACTTTATTTTGTAAATTTTGACCCATTATTACTCCCATGTTATGGTTTTCTCAGCTGTCAAGTGTACAAGGTGAAGAAAGAATTTAATAAGATGGGGGTTGCACCTGGTAAATAAATTTCTTAAACTCCATATACATGTTTCAAAGCTGCTGGGTCCCAAGTCCATCTATGAACTCCAGGGCTGCAGTATCATGTGCAGCATACTAAAAGCTACACTATCCGAATAGCTTATTAATTCTGCATAAATCAGGTCAATCAATGTGTCAACCTGTAACAGACTGTGCACTTTTAACTGAACATGGCAAAATATTCACTCTTTTGAACTTTACATCATCATTTGATGTCAAACAATGAAGCAAATCCCAACAGTATATACAAAAACAGCTTTGCATTTACAAAAGATTGTTTCCCATACTGATTAATTCAGGCAGCTAACTCATTGGTTTATGCAACTTTATTGAAGAAAAATAAATCAATTACTAGCAGAGCTATTAGTTGATCACTCATCCATTGACAACTTTGCATCATTTATTCAGTGCTATATTAAACAGTGTATTGGAAGATAGATTAACTAATAGCTCCAAGCCTCCTAACAATTTAAATGAGAATTACAAAATGTTTGAGACCCTATTTTGGAATACAAAGGGTGTTTGACTTCCAATTTCCATTCTCTGTAGAACAAGAACAGGTCATTCCTTTATTGACATGCATAAAATACATCACATTTTCTGTTCTGCTGATGCTATAAATTCAATACCAATTCTCCAGCCACATCAGTTATGAGCATAAAGTATATCATGTAACCTCAAATCTCTAACAGTGGAAGGCTTAAAAAAAAATCAGGATGCTAGAATAATGCTGCTTCCTTTGATGTGACAACTGAGCATCCATCTCCCTCCCCCTCAGATGATTTCTTCAGCATGTTAGAGCAGTGAGGAATGGTTTTAGTCTCATAACCAAGTTAGAGTGAAGACATTGGCCACATAATACACATGCTCCATTTTTAAAAAAATTCTGAATCTTGGGCAACTGTTCTCTTGTAACTACTTTACAGTTTCTAAAAGCAGTTATTGTCCAAAGCTGGAAGAACTTAAGTCTTCTCAGATGAGCATGTGAATGAATGGAGGGAGGTAAACAAAAAATAAAATTAAAAAAGATGAGGTCTGATAGGGGAGCAGCCGGATAAGAAAATCAAAAAAGGAACAGTAATTTAAAGTTTATTCCAGCTATAATGCAGGTTATTCTGACTTTAAGGTAGCATCACATGGCATACTTCTGAGTCCATTCCCGAGATATTCTGTTGTACCTGTAAATAAAGAAGATGTTATTTAAAAAGTCAAAGAATTCTTAATACTTAAAAATATTTCAATTTTACCTCCTGACTCATCATGGAGTCATCTCTCATGGTTATGATTAGAATTAAGCCAACAGGGAGAAAAAGCATTGGTATTCAAAGCAATGTGGGAAATGGAAATCTTAATGCTTCCAATGCAATGTTCCAATACACTGAAAGTTTAAGTATTAATAAACACAATCAAGTGGCACTGAGATTGGGGAGACTAACAAAAATTAGATCCTTTCTCTCCCCTACCACTGAGTTAAATGTTCTATTAGAGATTCTCTAATTAGTATCATTCCAACAAATTTTAACATTAAAAAAATTATTTTACAGTTCATCATGGATTTATGTCAGAATAGCACACACATTCTGTAACCCATAGAAATTTCCACCAAAGCTGGAACTAAACAATTTAATCTGAATCCTAGACCTTGAGAAATTACTAGCCTTGCGTAATACCAGGAAATACCTGAGATTTAAGCACAGGTAGAAGATTAGACACTGGGGAGGATGAAAAAAAGGAAATTTCAAGAGGGATGTGGGTGTGACTGGTATGTATGTGTTAATTATAACACTTATGTGTTACTTTTAGAAAGGGTGGTTACTGGAACAAGCCTCACTTGAGACCTGATGAACGGGAATCTCTACTAGGAGTATAACATGGGGGTATCTGTTTAGAAAGATCAACAGATAATTCACACATAAGCAAGGTTATTTATTACTGAGGAACATCACTAATATTGAGAAAGACTATCATTTTCTTCCTGTATTACATCCATGACATAGGCTACTTACCAACCAAAAAAATATAGTGATAACTTTAAGAAATGAATATACATCAAAGGGCAGAAGAAGAGAACTTTTAGATTTGTATTTCCAGTTTAAACTTTCTAAAACATTAACTAGCTTCATTCAAACCAAGAACCAACCATGGTTCGACCACATTTCTAAACTTTGGCATACAGTTCTTTCTACCATTCATGGTTACCTCATTTAAGGACAACCTCTCAAAAAGCCAGCACTTTAAAACAAAGGTTTCATTTAGCATACAGAGAGCCACAAAATATAGCTGGTATTAACGCATGCTTGTCAGTAATCAACATTTAGTTTAGATGCTTAGAGGCTTTATTAAATGTGTTTTTCCCTTACATTATTATTTCTTGGCCAAATCTGAACTAAATCACATATAGTACTGGTATAAAGGTTAAAATATAACAAATTTAAAATGTAATACCACTGTAATTTGAGAAAGATACTACTTATTAAACTTTAATTTCTTACTAGTGCTATATTTAACTGTTTTGCCATGCAAAAATACTCAAGAGCAATAATGACTACTTGGTATACTTTCACGCTAAACAGAGATCAAGCAGTTAAATGTACAGTTTTCAAAAAACTGTCCCATGTTACCTTTTTGTTAGTTAATACAGTGCCTTAAAGCATGCAGCACTCAAGTGCTGGCAGTACCATGAATAAGCGCACCATAGAGTGCAGATCCTCTTACCCTACAACATAGCGTATTTCTCTGTCCACTCTCTTGCTAACCTATTGTACCTAATTGAACAAGTACACTTAGCATTAATTATAACATACAACAAAGTTATAATGGTTGAAGTCGTACATAAAGATAATTCAAATATTTGAGAAATTTAGACCAAATTTTTATAGCAGTACCAGTATTTATTTCACAAACATAACTGGAGTAAAGAAAACTTTGCTTTCTTCCCAAAAACTTTTAAGTGACAAAGCCCTGAACATGTTAGAAAAATAAAATTTTAGAGGGGCTATTCACCGTCACATAAACGAAAACTTATTTTTTTTTTAAATCCCATTTCAAAAAATATCTTTCTGTACATCTTAACTATTATCTTACCAGAAATAAATCCTCAAATCTTCTTGGCATTGCCACAACTTACAAGAGAGTGTAAGCCTAGCTCATTAAGAAAACCACTCTTTATGTTATTTCCTTAAACTACTACATACTTACTTATCTCTGTCTGTTTTATAGATCCGTGCAATCTCTGGCACTAGGGGGTCATCTGGGTTTGGATCACATAGCAGTGAACAAATGGATAAAAGAACTGCAAAAAATAAATAAATAAATAAATAAATAAATAAATAAATAAATAAATAAATAAATAAATAAATAAATAAAATAAAAGCCTGTTACCCGGCACTGGGAATTTAGATAAATAAAAATGTATCTAAAAACATCTATTAAAAGCCTCAACCCTCAAAAGATTTTCATTAGTTTGTAACTTAATGTCAATGTGACAAAGCTTTGTAGAGATTTGCTCACAGAAGACTGATAAGTAAGGAATGCTAGAAATAGAGCTTTGTTGGATCTAGTACTGACTACCTATAAAAAACAAACTCAGAGGTTCTGACATTTTCAAATGATGCTCTATCAGTTTATTATCCTTTTTAAAAAGTGGTATTAGAATTTAAGTAACTGGAGTTTCTTGGTACTTTGAGAGGAGGAAAAATCTAGCAAAGAATATGCAGGCAACATTAATGCAATATTATTTTCAGATGTTAGGCCTGATGAAAAATCCACTCTCAGGGAGCTTGGCTATGACTACTGATCTTGGGAGTTATGTGTGCAAATCCCATGTTGGGAGTAGCAATTACTTAAATAAAGATGTATTTAAAAATTCATTCTCTGCCCTGCTCTCCAGTTTCACAAAAATTCCAACTGCTCCACTGTCTTTTGTCTCCTTGAATTTATAAACTAACAGTATTAGTTAAATGAATGCTGAGATCCATCTCTATTACTAATTGAGCCTTCTCACAACTCTAGTTCTTAGTCTGACCTGTTTAATATATAAACTTGGAAGATACCAAGCATTCCAGAGCATGTATCGAATTCATTTTGTATGCCTGTTATGTGCCACACACTGCAAAAGTGTTAACAAAGACTGGTCATGAAAATCTTCAAAGATAACAGTACCATATAAAATAGTAGTAACGTAATATATTACGGCAAATATAATTTTAAACCCAAAGGCAGGAGGGCACACATATAAAATGCAACTCGTATTTAACAGAAACCTAGTGCTGAGCTGTATTCCCAACAATCATAAACTTGGAATCTAGTATTAAGATATTCTTGATCCTATATTTTTAGAGTATCTGTAATGTATCTGGTGTTAAGAGAGCTTGAGTTGCAAGGGAAATAGAATGTATCCCAAGGTGAAAAATATCTAAAAGTATGTCACGCTTGAAATTACAGCAGCATACACCAAAACTGATTTTTCTTCTCCAGAAGATTTCAGATTCGTTGTACAAATATGTGAAACACTGTCTTACACACTTCCAACTATGTAGTTTTGTGGTAGGGGATTTTTTTTTTTGGGGGGGGGGGGAGTAACACCACCATAGTCCTTCAAACCGGAGAAAGATAGAGGCACTTCATCTCTATCTGGGATATTCATGTGGAGACTGGACAACCTATTAGAGTTGTCACATAACAGGCCCTTATTAAAAAATACTGTAATAAACACACAAGAAAGCAAAATCAGAATATTCCTAGAATGGAAACCAAGATTTAAAAGCTCTATTATCTTTGCATATACCATTTTATAAAACGCAGCCAGTGAGATGTGAGTGGCCTAGGATTGGAAACTACTACAGAAATCTATTCAAGAAACTTTATTATTTGCAAATAATGCCTATATCCCATTTTGAATTTTAATGTTTCCCCCATCTTTAATCAATACGGCTAAAAGAGCAAAAATAATTTTTTTCTTCTCTACCTCTTACCAAAATGTTGGTATATGGAGGTTAAGTAGGCCCCAAAATAAAAATTAAAAAATGAGAGCAGCTCAAGACTTTCTCTAAAAGTATTTTACCTTTAGAAATAGTTAAAGCAGGAGACCACTGTGATCTTAGAATATCGAGACAAATGCTGCCATTACTGTTAATATTTGGATGATAAATTCTTGTTGTAAATGCAACCTAAAATAAATTAAAAAAAAAAAAAAAAAAAAGCTTTTAGGTATTTTTCCAAAGTAAAAATAAAAGCATCCTGATCTGAAATAGAAGACTTTTAAAGCAAGGCTTAAAATACTGTCACACAAACACAAAATCAAAAGGCTGAAGCCTATTTGTACACAAAAAGACTAAAAATTACAGAAAGTGGTTTGTATATTCTGATCAAGATATTTCAGGGGCTCCCTTTAATTAAAATAGAAAATATAACTTTGAAGCAAAAATTTTATTATCATGATATGGTGGGATATTCTGAAGGTTAACTTTGGCTTTACCATGTAATAATGTCAAAAAGAACACCGTGAAAGGTAGTCAACATTAAAAAATAAAGGAACTTCAGAATGTAAACCAAACTTACAGATCAACTTATTTAGGGTATCAAGTAACAAAGTTATGTGTGTTAGTCTGCATTTCCACTGTACATAAAATACAAATGTGAATGATCACCAAAAGTGTTTCACTTAAAGTAGCCATTATACTGCACCTATTAACAGGACTGCAAAAATGGCTGAAGTGCCAATGTTTTTCTTTTTTAAAAAAAGATCCATCCGTCCGTCCATCCATCCATCCATCCATTCATTCATGACAGACACAGAAAGAATGAGAGGCAGAGACACAGGCAGAGGGAGAAGCAGGCTCCATGCAGGGAGCCCAACACATGGGATCGGGTCTCCAGGATCATGTCCTGGGCCGAAGGCGGCGCTAAACCCCTGGGCCACTGAGGCTGCCCCAATGTTGTTTTTCTGTTGTTATTCATATAGGTTGGATTTGTTAATTGTTCTGGACAGTCAAGGACCATATGCTTTTAATTAACTGTAAACCAGTCACCTCTATGCATTAAACAACTCTAAGTCTTGTTACATTTATTGTTATATATGCAAACATAAACCCCTGAAAAATAACCCATCTAAACCCCAACAAACAGCATAGACTGCAGCAATATTGGCAAATACACACGAAACTAAATACCTGAAGCCTACTATTGCAAAGGTTAAGAAAAATCTATATGAGTATAACAGGAAAAAAAATTTTTCTCCCACATAATGTATCACAACCTTGCATCAATGAGGGATAAGTCTGTTCTTATCTGGATTTACAAAGTTCAAATCCAGGTCTAACTGCTCTCTTAACTAAAGGTTAAAAGTCAGCATTCTGTATTGGTGACTCCATGCACATATTTTTAACTTAATTATTCTTATTCACTACAGATACACACCCCAATTTAGCCTTAATTATGTAGAACCTTGATTTCTAAATATACTCCTTTGAAATAAAGCACAAATCTATACTAATGGATTTTGGTGGTAAATACTTGCCTTAGGTGGTTTGAAGGGGTAGTCTGTAGGAAAATGAATTGTCAAAAAGAATACACCGCCTTGATATGGGCTGTCATTCTGTGAAAAGAAAAATTTGCTTAACTCTGATATTTAAAATATCACTGCGAAATAACCCATGTAACATTTCTATTTCCTAAGCATTTCTCAAACATGAACCAAAATTACCTGTTTACACTGCAATAAAGAGTATAAATTATTCCACAGTTCAGTTCGTATTACTAAACTACACAATCAAAATTTACTATAGAACAATGAACCCTTACTTTTACTTAGATCCAATTTTATGTAAGTCATCAAATAATTGAGAAATTAACCAGTGTTAATCAAGTGTTCTAGATCTTGATTTTCACAAAGGAAGTATACTTTGTAATAAAGTCTATATACGGCATATCAAACTTGAATTTTAAAATAAGGTCTTATATTTATTTCTTCTGATAACCATATATACATATATGGGCTTTGTACTTAAAACACACCACTCAAAAAAAATAAATAAATAAAAAATAAAACACACCACTCTGATCACTTTGGCAAACCAAAATGTTAGCTATTGTAGGTTAACCTTTATCTTCATAGGAGAAGCAAAACAGAAACAAAACAGGTTTTTAACAAAAGTTTAATTCCCAAATAGCTCATCAAAAATTCTCAGTTTATAAAAATTTTTTAAGTACTGTCTACACACAATATGGAGCTCAAATTCCTGATTCTAAAATTGAGTCACATGCTTTTCCAACCCAATCAGCCAGGAACTTCTCAAAATTCTCATTTAAAACCATGATTTTTTTTTTTTTTAGGATCTGAGAGAGAAAGAGAGAACAGGAGGGAAGGACAGAGGGAGAGTCTTTTTTTTTTTTTTATGATAGTCACAGAGAGAGAGAGAGAGAGAGAGAGAGAGAGAGGCAGAGACATAGGCAGAGGGAGAAGCAGGCTCCATGCACCGGGAGCCCGACGTGGGATTCGATCCCGGGTCTCCAGGATCGCGCCCTGGGCCAAAGGCAGGCGCCAAACCACTGCGCCACCCAGGGATCCCCCAGAGGGAGAGTCTTAAGCAGACTCTGCTGAACACGGAACCTGACTTCGGGTTCAATTCCAGGTCCCTGAGGTCACAACGTGAACTGAAACCAAGATTTGGATGCTTAACTGTGTCCCCAAGGGACCCCCGAAACCATGGAATATTTTTCTTCAAAAGCATACTGAATTTTCCACAACAAATCAATACACAGGATTACTAGATTTGGAAAACAACATAGAACATTTTCTCTTCCACTTCAACAGAAAAATAGAAATTTTCAAGCTATAGCGCCACTCTTCCTCCTTTGTTGATTATAATTGGAGTATGAAGAACTCTCCTAAATATCACACAAAGTTAGTATGAAGTAACATTTGGAAAACACTACTTGCTAGAATCTTACATTTTTTTACCAGGAAAAAGAATTGTGTTCCCATTTTATGGATAAATAAAAATGGGACTTGAAGGAAAAACTTAGGTGGTAGAAGACAGAACCAAGATTGAAACCAGGGCTTTTAAAAACATTTTTTTTAAAAAAGAGTTTGAGAGAAAGAGACAGCACACAGAGGAGGAAGGGGCAGAGGGAGAGGGAGAAGTAGACTCCCTGCCAAGCAGGGAGCCCGTTGCAGGGCTCAGTCACAGAACCCTGGGATCATGACCTGAGCCCAAGGCAGATGCTTAACCAAATTAAGCCACCCAAGTGCCCCCAAATCCAGGTCTTATAAAGATCACTAGTCAACATGGATTAGAGAGTGATGACAAAAGACAGTGACCTTGTCAAAAACTTTAAGGTGAAAGTTGAAGAAAATATGAAAACTGCCTATGGATATGCAAAGAAACCACCTGACAAGGTCTTTGAAAATGTATAGTAACTGAGTTATTACCAACATCCATTTCTCTACATTCAAGAGAGTATGTGTGTAGTGCTAACATGAGCCTTTTACAATGCCCATTCTGGTATCAGCCAAGTAAAAATGTTTTCAAATCTGAAACTTTAAAATATAGCTCATTTAATTCCCAGCCGTTTGTAAAATAGTTGAGCAACAGTTGAATTAATCTAACTTCATTCTATAGACCAGGCACATATAAAGGACAGAGAGAACAATTTATCTTGATGGGATAATTAACATTCTGGTAAAGAGACATGCAATAAAATGTTGCAAGTAAGAAAAATGAACAGGAGATACCTGCAACTTGAAGGAAAAATGTCAATTTACTGATAAAGTTCAAAGAAACATTCAACTAGTATAATCTGAGTCCTTTTTACTCCAAAGCTCTTCTTTTCCTATTGTCTAAAAACTTTAATTCAAAAAACACTGAAAAGCAGGATATTAAAAGTACAGAAAAAAAACAAAGCACAGAATATGATCTAAATTTATTAGATTAGCATTATCTTTGTTAACAGCTACATTAACTAGCAATAGATGCTTCAAATGGCATATGCTTTTACAAAATAAATATGGAAAATGTACAGTGTACAATAAACAATTTTAGGGTAATTTTAAATAGTGAAAGTTTTTATAAAACCAAATCATGGGGATCCCTGGGTGGCGCAGCGGTTTGGCGCCTGCTTTTGGCCCAGGGCGCAATCCCGGAGACCCGGGATCGAGTCCCACGTCGGGCTCCCGGTGCATGGAGCCTGCTTCTCCCTCTGCCTGTGTCTCTGCCTCTCTCTCTCTGTGACTATCATAGATGAATAAAAGTTAAAAAAAAAAAAAATTAAAAAAAAAAAAAAACAAATCATGAAGTTCTAAGTTTACATTCCAAGTTTCATATAATCGCAAGTGCTGTATTGGACGGCTTCTGAATAAAGGCAATCTAATGGTAAAATTTAGTTTTTAATTTTTTTTTTAAAGATTTATTCATCTGACAGAGCGAGAGAGCACTGGCAGGAAGAGAGAGAAGCAGAATTCTCACTGAACATGGAGCCCAACGTGGGGTTCGATCCCAGGATTCTGGGATCTTGACTTGAGCTGAAGGCATGTGCCTAGGACTAAGCCACCCAAGCACCAGGCCCCTAATGCTAAGATTTAGGGAAAGTCAACTTCTTTTTTTTTTTAAGATTTTATTTATTTATTTATTTATTTATTTATTTATTTATTTATTTATTTATGAGAGAGAGAGAGAGAGAGAGAGAGAGAGAGAGAGAGAGAGAGAGAGAGAGAAGGCTCCATGCAGGGAGCCTAATGTGGGACTCAATCCCAGGACTCCAGGATCATGCCCTGGGCCGAAGGCAAGCGCTCAACCGCTGAGCCACCCAGTTGTCTTGCCAAATTTCATTTGTTCAAAAAAAGAACATACAGAAGGAACAATTCAACACTACATTCTTTCAACTCAGAGGAAAAGCTGGTAAAAATCACAAAATCCTGAGGTAACCGAACTATTATATCTAAAAATTGAGGCTCTGTATCAAATTTACTATAAATTGAAAGCAGAACTCTGGTGGCTCAGTGGTTTAGCACTGCCTTCGGCCCAGGGCATGATCCTGCAGACCCAGGATCAAGTCCCAGGTCGGGTTCCCTACGTGGAGCTTGCTTCTCCCTCTGTGTCTCTCTGCCTTTCCTGAATAAATAAAAAATCTTAAAAAAAAAAAAAAAATTGAAAGCAAACAAAATAAAAAAAGCAAAATGGAATACTTTGATCAGTAAGTTGACCCAAATCTTAGAAATCCAGAATTTTATTAGATCTCTTCTTTAGAAACCTTCTACACCCTGGTTTTAACTCCCATCAATCCAAAGTCACTCCTCAGTGTCTGTACTCCTCCCCCAGAGCAACCATAAAGTTGCCCAGATCCATCTTCTGCTTTTATCTCCTGACCCATACTTATTTTGGCAACTCTTTAATTTTTCTTTAGTATAGTCATTAGTTCCAAGACATATATATTCAAATGCCTATAAATATTTATTTCTGGATGTTTCCTGTGTCCAAAACACAAACCACAAACTCTTCATTAATCAAAGTAGTTATTAATCTTAAAGACCCTTAAAGTTTCTTGAACTAGCTAGCTTCCTTCCTCTCCTTTATGCCCAGTGCCACTACTCTGCGTTCAAGATCTTACCAGTTTTTGTTTATAATTATGGCAATGGCTTATTTCTGGTATTCCTTCCTTCACTCTTTTTCTTCTCATTCATCCCCTGCCCCAATGCTGAAATTGTCGTAAAATACAAATTACACCCCTGCTTGAAATCTAGTACAGCTTTCAAGATAAACTGCAAACTCCTAAGGACACAAGGTGCTTTATGATCTCCTTCCCACTAAATACAGTTGGTCTCATCTTCCACCTCGTCTCCTGTATATGTTCTCTTTACTGCACTTAAAATATTTCACACCTCTTTTTTCTATTATTTCTTTCTTCTAACTTGAAATATTCTTATCTGCATCCTTATCTTCTTTATCTCTAGGACCCTACCTATACTGTAGGATCCATCTCAAGCTTACATGTCCTTAAAAAAGATAATACTGCCTTTCCTTTAGTTCAATATCCTGTTGTCCTTCTTTTATACCTTTCTGTGCACAGTTATACTATTCAACATGCTTGTAACTTATTTACTTTTATTTCCCTCTTCCTCTAGACTACAAAGTTCCTTAAAAAGGGAAGAGTTTTCATGGGTCATTAGCCTTTGTAGGAACTGACACAATACATTTAAAATTAGTTGAAAAAATAACCCTTATGGACCAATAAGACAATACCTATGAACCAGTTAGTTGACTTCAGATGGTTTTTGCAGCTGATTCTGCTCAGACTAAGGCCTAAGGTTACATTGTATTACCCCCAAAATGGTACTTTCTACCATGACTGTATCATAGTATCAGTGTGGTTCTCCTAATAATTTCAAAATATCTTCCTGCCAGCTCCATCTCCAATTCAAGAAAAAATCAAGTGTATATATCAGGTAAGGAGTTAATTTCTAATTGCATCGTTAATGGGAACTGCCCTTAATACAAAAAAACAAAATCATAAAAACCAAAGCTTAAAAACCACATAACCAGCAATGCTGTCAATTCCTTCAAAGGTTTAGTTTAGTATTTGTGCTTCCAAAGTATCCTACCTTCAAGAAAGAATAAGTCAGTTCAAATAGTTATTAGAAAGAATCCTTTCTGCCTCATAAGTTTAATGATTAAGAACATTTCCAGACTACAGTACACTAAATTCAATAGTTAACTCTGTATTAAAACAAATTAGATGCTCCATTTCTTAGTCAGGAACCTTTACTTATGTGGCACTACCAATCACTTTTACTGACCTAGAAGAAGTACTCCAAAGCAAAAGTACGTTTGTAACCATTTATTCTTTCAGCAAATGTGCAAATATATGTGTTGTTATACCACCAATAGCCCTATGTTTTAGCTCATTTATCTGCATGTCACTTACTAACAAAATAAAGCAATTATTTATCTAATTGAACTGTGATATTTTATCATAAAAATGCAATCAAAAGCCAAAATAAGAATATGAGGTATTTCACTGATGACTCTATAAGTAAGGGTAATTGTTAACTACTTGCAAGTTCACATCTAAACAGGTGCTTACTTAAATACAGTTTTTGCTTTTGTTAATCAGAGAATATTAAAGTAGTTCTGATAATCAAGTATTTGTTTTTAAAAGCAGAAAACGGTCATTTACAGTTGCTAAAAAAATTTACAAGGAATAGCTATAATCTGAAATAGGTATAAAACAAGTGAAAAATGTTTTCTGAAAATAAAAGCAAATTAAGTAAACAGTTACAAAACGGTCAGGATAAGCAATCTCCTTTTTATTCTCAGGAAAATTGCTAGCATAAACTACTTACTTATACTTCACTTTCATTTACGGTAAGTATATTCCTTACCTTTTGAAAAGACAGTTCAAAAAAACCGTGAGGTCTCAAAGTCCAGCAGGAAAACATCACACTGGTGTCAAAGAGTTGGTTTATTATGCCCAATTAGAAATCTTGATTACCAACTCTTTAGTGCTTAACACCGACAACTAATTTTTTATAAATAAGGCCATCTTGAAAGCACTCTCTGGATCGAAGATGAGCTTTTACTTGGTAGAAATACTAAGGTATTTTACTGAGTACTCTGCTTTGAAAATTGGTAATCTATGAGAAAATTCTAAAAACTATAAATCTAAGTGCCTACAGAAACTAGGTAGGCAAAATTAAGTTGATAGGAATACTATGAGACTCCATATAAAAAAGGGAGGTAGTTGCTACTCCACCCCAAGCCATTAATGCAGTGCAATGAAGGCCTGGTACAGGTTTTTATGTGAAGACTCCCAACTTTTAGAATGTTCTGGGGACCAAACTGGATAAAAGCCACACTAAGTTAACTATGTGCAGTTAAAATAAGTAACAATTTTGCTACCCAATAATAAAAGGAAGCATTTTTAAAGCAAAATAAAATTTACCACAGCTAAATATCACCCCACTCTACCACCATTACCAAGTTTAACTTAACTGGATTCACAATCTCCTTACCTTTAGGTCCTAACATTTCATAATTACTCTAACTCATCCCTGCTATGATTTCCCATAAAATTTCTCCTACTAAGTGCTTCATTCATGTATCACTTACTTCCCACTTTATCAGTCTTTTAATTGTCTGTATTTCCCAGTAGATTTTTAAGTTCCCTAAAGAATGAGAGGGATCATATCTATCCTTAATGGCTGACAACACAGTGGGGTAATCACACTAAGATAGAAAAAAAGGTTAGTTATCAAAATCTGAACTACGAAATAAATACTTATTGATCCAACTCATTAACTGGCTAACTTTTCCAAGATCATTTCTTCATTTAGAATGATAGACATCCATTATTGACCATTATCTCACCAAGTACATTATTGACACTTATGTTGAGATTAAACCACCAAAAGGGAAGGGGGCAGATTAAGACATACATATAATTTAGAATAGAAATCCTCAAGTGCCTTCCAAATCAAAAAACATTAAGTATTGTGCAAGATACAGTCTTACCCCAGGTTGTTTTACTGCGTTCTAATTCTGTGAAATTCTTAGATGGTATCCATAATTCTGAATATTCAATTATCCAGCATATACAGTTTCTTATCTACCCAGGATAGAAAGGAATTTTGCTGTATTCAAAATATCACTTTCTACCTAAAAATATTCAAGTTTTGCAAAAAACTAAAGTTCTATAGAGAATCAAAGTAATACAACAAAAACTTAGATTTTCGGCAGCAACAAGAATAAGATCTTTGAGTAACACCATGGTAGAGTTAGTAAGTTAATTGGCTCTATAAAAGAAGCTCTGTGACAATGTTTTACAATATTACTATAAAAGAAAACTAGTATAAAGTGTAAAAAACATTTTGATAGGTCAGAAATGTTATATTCTAGAACCTGAAATCAGGGACACACAGCAAATGTTAACAAATGACTAATTCACATTTAATTATTGTGCCTTTCAAAAGCAGTACAACTATGACAAGTCCAAAATGGTACTACAATGTAATAAATGTAAGACTAAGTGAAATACAACTAGGTCAATACTGAATTTTTAATTAAAAGCAAAAATTTTTATTCTTAATACTTACAGGTCCCATAATTGTGGCTTGCCAATGAAACACTAGGAAACAAACAAAACAACTGTTATCTAAAAATGGACAAGATGTTTGAAATTAGCTGTTAAAATCAACTTGAGAGTTACTTACTATCATCCCCAACTGGACCTGCAGAACATTGTGCTGGAGGGTCACGGGCCAAATCACTAAGTTCCTAGATCAAAACAGAAAATCATGGGTTATGTAACCATAATAAAAAAAAAAAAAAAAAAAACACAAGCAAGCAGAGGGTCAACTATTTATTTTCACTCCATCCTTTAAGGAACATACAATCAGAGTTCACATCAATACATTCTAATAAAAGAGAGAAAACCTAAGTAACTATAGTCCAGATCCTGGGACATTAGTAGGCATAGATATAAAAATTTGTTATACCAATAAAAGCTGTCCAAAACAAAAAAGCTCTTATCAGATACTTTCATGGCCTAAGAACTCAGACAAGGCAATTTTCAACATTCATGTTGTTTGCTTAACTTTTTGGACATCTCAGAGGCCCTTGTTTTTACTATCTTAAATCCTGTTATTTCTGAACCACACTATGCACAGACCTCACTTTCCAATTGAAAAATCTCTCATGGGGTGAGGTAAGTATCCTTTTTGGTTTGATCTTATTCCTGCAACACAACCATGTCTTTTATACAATGCTCAGTAAAATTACAACTCTGAAAGTGCCTGATGTTTGCTCTTAGTAAAACAGGCAGTTTCCAAAATTACGTATTACCTTTTATTTACAAATATATTCTTAGCTCTTCCATGACTTGTACATAATATGGATAATGTAATAAGAACTGTTTCCTTATGTTTTTAAAGATGATGTAACTGCCTCTATATATACGCCTATATATAAATCTCTATAGGGATTTACAGAACCATGAGGTAATAGTGGGTTTCTAAGAAAAAGGTGGAAATACAAGATACTGCAGGAAGACAACCAGAGCAAAAACTTGCCTCTACCATATGATCGAAATGCACTTCAGGAAATAGCTCATGTTTTAGGAATGCTCAATCTAGATTCATCCCATTAAAAAACAAACAATGCAGAAGAACTGTCCTGTGGTAATCATTTCACAAAATACATATATCAAAATATTATGTAGTATATCTAAGCCAAAAAATGTTACAGGTCAATTTTATTTCAATAAAACTGGGGTGTGGAAGGGGGATTGTTCTGATAAGCCCTATTAACTTGCTTCTGAAACTCATACCATATCTGCTTTTAAGATTATCAAAGCATCCAGAGATACAGGATTCACAACCTTAGGATAATGGAATATCAGATCATTTATGCTTGTCTTTGTAAATATATACCTTCAAATGTTCAACATATTTAAAAAAATGGGAGAAAATTCATTCCAATTCACCGATGATCCTCACCAGTAGGAATTACAGAAACTCTTGACTGAAAGTTAAAAACAACTGCTTAAAAGAAACTATGTATGGTTTTAGCTTAAAAATAAAAGCAGAAATGAACACCTGTGTATCAATTTTGAACCAGTATACTTCTTTGAAAATAGAAATGTAAAAAAAAAAAAAAAAAAGAAAAAGAAATGTACTTGCAACTTGAATTAATCAACTAGCCATTATCAAGCAAATTACTTTGTCATAGACCAGATGAGTTTTCGTATGGTATTTATTTACATCCCATAATCAGCCACTTTTGTTATGATGGAAATCTACTTTAAAACCATCTCAAGGTATAAAAATTTTACTGAAGGTAAGAATCAGGTAATCTAAAAGAATCGTAACTAAAATGAAGAGAATTCTCCCATGTCCCAAAGCTTATACAACAAATTCTTTTGTTGAACTGGCCAACCAAGAAAGGATACCAAAAGCTAACTTATGCAGTCTAATTCCCTCTTTCCTTCAGGAACATAGGGTTCAAAAAAAGGCCTATTTTAAGGTTAAAAACTTACCTGTTTCAAACTATCCCCTCCCTCTTTTTCCAGTTATTTACCTCTTAGTTTCTTACAGTGATCTACCCCAAATTATGTTACTTGTTTGAAATGCCTGAGGAAAAAAAAAAAATCTAGCCGTTATTTTTAAATAAAAACCAATCCAATGATGGTTGATCTAACAAAATAGCCAAGTGACCTTGAAACAACTTCATTATAAATACAGCTGCAGGCATCTCTAAAGTTGATCTAGAATACGTAATACCCTGTTTGAAAATTACACGTTTTAATTATGAAGAATCTAAGAAATGATTTCTTATAGAAGAAAAGTTTTCAGGCACAGTATTTATAAATCATTAAAACCTTTATGTGCTGGCATTATTACTCCAGAGTGAAGGTCTAATTTCAGCTCTTCCCCCCAATAATTTTAGGATCTTGGTCTCAAATAATTTATAAATGCCTTATTTTCCAAGTTCTCCATGAACAAGACACCTCTGAAGTAATAATCAAAATCTAAAATTAGGCCAATTACCTTATGTACTAAAATCCACTTTAAATGCAACGTTGAAAAAAAATGACAAGTTATTTTAAGGATCAAAAATAGGTCTTGGGATGTCTGGGTGGTTCAGCGGTTGAGTATCTGCCTTTGGCTCAGGGCGTGATCCCGGAGTTCCAGGATTAAGTCCCACATCCAGCTCCCCAAAGGGAGCCTGCTTCTCCCTCTGCCTATGTCTCTGCCTCTTTTTCTCATGAATAAGTTAAATCTTTAAAAAACAACAAAAAACACGTCTTCTAAATCATGTACCAGCATTCACCTTTAACATAACAAGTAATTCTCATGACATTATTATGCTCGTAGCATAAGCAAATGAGATTATAGAGTGACTTAGCAAGGAAAAATATGAGAAAGCATAGTAACAAGTCATCCTAGACACTCTTCTATATATATGACATTTTGTCTACTCAGTAAACCATCTTACTCTTTCATGAAAATGCTTTCCCTTACTCCAAACATGTCATTGTAGTGTTTGGTTAATGGTGGCTGCTAATCACCCATTACTCAGACAGGGCTAATCGCAGAATTTTGTTCCTTCAGCCTGTAATTAGCTCAAAGGGTTGAAAAGTAACCTAAACCAGGACCTGACCTAATCAAGTCCACCCATCTCTGCCTGGTTTTTCAAATTGAAGCTGGAACACTTCTTTCTCTAAATCAGGAGCTGTAAAGATGTGACCAAGAGCTGTTGGCAGGCATGTGCCTTGAAATTACATGGTGAATCCAAAGAAAAAGAGACCACATTGGGCAGCAGAGATAATAAGAGCTGACTTGGCATATACACGTGCAATTTTAGTCCCTGAGGTTGTAGCTTGCTCTGGGGTTCCTAAAGCTATTTCCTTTGATCGTTAACCACTCCAGTTTCCTTCTAATAAATCCAAAGGGGGGGAAAAACCGGAAGAATGAAGAGACCCATTCTAAGTAGAGCTACTACTGGCACCCATATACTTTATCCCACCTAAAGCACAATGTAATGCTCAAGTCATGTATTTTAAGAAAGAAATCTAAATGAAGCAGTCTTAAAATTAAGCTAGAAGGCGCAGTCATGTGTCTTGTCTAACAACTTTTAATCTAATCAGAAACTAGACGTTAATTTAAATCCATTTCTAAAATGAAAAGTGTAATATCTGCTATTCAAGTTTCACCATCAAAACATTCACTCACTTACAAGACTGCATTTCTGGCATCAAGCATGTTAGGTTTGAATATACCAAGATAAAAACATGAATGCATTCCCCAAAAGACTCAATATAAAATAAAGTAGGCACAATGCAAAAACAACAACAAAAAAAAAACCAAACCACACTTTAGCAACTTACATGCTTAAAATAAAAGCATTCACATGCTTTGTGAATCCTAAAAAGGTACCCACTAACCTTGCCTGTTTTTAAAAACAGTGACAACTGAGCTAGGTCTTGATGGAGGGCTAAACATTCCAAACAGAAACTCATTCAAAAAGTGTAAAATACAGGCTATAAACATTTGCTTATAGTCTGGCATACCAGAAACACAACAGGGTATACAAGTAAGGAAGTAGCACATGTGGCCAGAAATTGTTAACCAAGACTGGATCTTTCATGAGCTTTGAGTATGTCTAAGAGTATCCCAAAGGCAATGTCAACCACCGATAGTGTGTTTTTTGTTTTGTTTTGTTTTGTTTTAAATTGAAGATCTACCCACTTGTTTGGGAGAGTACGTGTGCGGCGGGGGGGGGGGGGGATTTCAAGCAGACTCCACACTTAGCAGGTAGTCCCTATTTGGGGCTCAGTCTAAGGACCCATAAGATAAAGACCTAAGCTGAAACCAAGAGAAGATGCTCAACCAACTGAGCTACCCAGGCGCCCTGAACCATGGATAGTTTTTAAGCAGGAATAAGACATCATATTTGGTTTTTATTATTTTTAAAGATGTATTGGCAATAGTACACTAGAAGAGATTCTTTTAATTTTTTAAATTATTAGGTGATATCGTAGAAGTACCCATGAGTCTATGTACTCAGCCTGTTAAGTAAAGGTTAGCATTTTTACACTTTCTTCATATTAAAAAACAAAACAAAACTTGCGGATATAACTGAAGATTGCTCACATACTCCCCAAATTCCATTCCCTTTCCCCCACAGGAGGGAACAGATTATCCCAAATTTGGCTTCCACTATTTCTCCATATTTTTATGTGCAACTAGATCTGTACCTTTTCACATATAGCATTGTTTTGTAGGGCCTCAAATTTTAAGCGATGTAAAAACGATCTATATATGTAAACCTAGGTCTGTATCTCTGTTATGTATCATTCAGAGCATTGGCTCTTAATGCTATTTGTGACTAGGACTTCTAAGACTCTAAGTGCTGACTTTCTATCCCCTAAAATACACGTTATGCCCCCCAAAATTTTAATTTGTGGGGGCTATCACTGACTCTCTCAACCCCATATTGTAGAAATTCCTAATACAAACAGAGAAGTAGATAACATTAGGAACTATAGCAGTTCAGGTAAGAGAAGAACGCGAGAAGTAAGTCACGGAGAATGAAAAAAAAGATCTTAAATACCAAGCATTTTACCCTTTCAACAATCTTAGGGAAACAGGCCTTATTTCTATTTATGTCAGAGCCCCCTACTAGAGGAAAGATTGCATTCAAATGTAGGACATACTAAGCTTTAAGGATGGGTCAGAAAACAAAGCAGTTTATCTACCAGATGCTTGAAAATTAGA